GAGGGGGAGGGGGTCGGCAGCGAGCCTCTTTTTTTTTTTATTATTTATTCCTGTTTCTTATTTTTTTTTCTTTTGCAGTTTTAATATATCTTTGTATTATGCATTGCGATGTTCGCTTTTTTTTTTTTTATATGCTTTATTTCTTTTTTTTTTTTTTATCGTTTCTTCTTCTTTCCTCTTGCTTTCTATGGCTTCTCATCGTTTCACACATTTAAGCGCGGTAAGCTGTGACGACGACAAGGGCCACAAGCAAGGGAAAAACAAAGATGACGTTGTGTTTTTATTACTATTATTGCGCGGGTATGGTGTCGTTTTACATTTTATTCGGAGGAGTTTTTTTTTGTTTTGTTTTGCATGCTCATCGTTACCTTCTGCTTCTGCTACTGCGAGAATATTCTTTCCAATATCAAACTTTTTCTTGCAGTCACGTGCGATGCAGGTCTTTTTTTTTTCTTCTTCTTTTTCTTTGCTTTGTCATTTTTCACCACTTCCACGGCAATACACATCTCTGACAAAACGAATAAAAGAAATCAAAAAATGACCACCACCAACACCACCACCGCCACAAACAGCAGTAGCAAAACCCCAAAAATAACGAAGTAGTAACAATAGTGTAAAACTTTGGCAGTGACAAATGCAGTTGTAGCGATGAGAAGGTGGTAGAAAAAAAAAAAAGAAATAAAAATCAAAGAAAAAAAAAAATCCGTGACATGTAGGCCGTGATGCAGAATTCACTGCCGCCTGCAAACAAACCCTTTTTTTTTTTCTTTTTTCCTCTCTTTTATTTTTTTTTTTCCCTCGTTGAACAACCAACAGTCACGCCCCAGCAATCCCTACTTTTCGCCTTTAACGCACACACACACACACACATACAAAAAACCTTCACTCTCTCCCCATTTACCGTCGCAACGTTTCCCATTTACTGTCGTCCCGAGGCTGGCGCTGTGGGCCACGATTCCCCCCGCGACCAGCACCATCGCGTGACCAGGCATCACCACCTGCCTTTCGACCGTTGCTTCCACCCTCGCCGTTTGTAGATCCAACGGCTGTGTTAGTGTTATTACTTTCTTCTGCATTCCCTGCGCTTGGGGGTGGTGGCGGCTGTACCATAGGCTCATCACGCCAGTTTGCAAGACCACCGGCTGATACAGGACTCTGACGTTTGTTGTTACGAGGAACACCGCCGCCACGACGGTCCAACTCTCCATCACTGCGGCGGTTCTCGCGCAGATTTGGCTGAAACTCCGGCTGTGCCACAGGGCCTTCATTACGCCAGTTTCCAAAGTCTGGTGGTGGTGTCATTCCTGTTGGTGAGCCATCGGAACCGCGAGTGGCAGTGCCTAACGTGTCTCGTGAGAGTTCCGCCAGGATGTGGAGATCGTTGCGGGAGCCAAATCCAGAGCGACTGCCCATATCACGCTCTCCAGGAGAAGAGTTACCGCCACCTTGTGTAGTGCCAAAAGCGTCACGAGTAAGGTTAAGATGTTGCAATCCACCGGATTGTTGTTGCTGTGGACCACCCGCTGCATTTTGCCGTGAAGGCCCACTATGACCATGTAGTCGCTCCACCTGCTTGGCAGTGGCTAAGTCTACGTAGAGCTTGCGTCCCTTTACCATAGTTTGGTCCATTGTGAGGGCAATAGCGAGTGCCTGTGCTGTTTTAAACTCCACAAACGCAAAACTCTTTCCATCTTGACTAATGAGTCGTGACGTAACGATGACATCCTCATGAAAGTTACGTAGAAACTCTTCTTCTGTTGTTCCATTACGTAAGTTTCCAAAGTGAGCGACGTACGGTGGTTGGAGATCTTCCATGCCTCTTGAGCGATTGACTTGTGCACTTGGCGCATCACGGAAACCGCCGTTCTCTGCGAGTGCATTATTAGCAATGCGACTGAAGTCTCTCTTGGCAAGTTTCTCTTCCACCACCTGTTCCTGTGTCTTCTCCTGAGGAACTTCCACTGCCCAATCTAAGTTATCCTCGGGAATGTACTCATCGTTAAAGTCCATGAGGTTGATGGTCTTCCCTCGTGCACCCTTCTTTTTAGCCGGCATCTTTCCTTCAGTTTTTTTTTTTTCTTGTAGATAAATAAATAGATAAAATATATAGGTTAGCCTATGTATCTGTTTAAGTCAGTAACCTCGTGAGTACTGTTTACTTTAGTTTTCCTTTTCGTCCTTCTTCGTTCGTCCTAGTTTCTCCTTTAAAGAAGGTGTATTGCTTCCGCTGCAGTGGTACGGCAGGATACATTACAATTCAAAGAAAAAAGAGAAAAAAAAAGAGGAGGAGAGGGGAAGTCAAATAAACGCAACAGACGAAGAAATACATTTGTGAATACGAAACGATAAAGACTTCAGAATCATCAGAATAAGAAAGAGAGCAGTAAAAAAAAAAAAAAAACATACAATACTATATAAATACAGATAAAACAGCAGCATTTCCCTCTGATCAGCCCACGGATGCGCTGGGTACATGCGCATAAACGTACACAGAGAGAAAGAAAGAAAGAGAGATCGATAGATAGATAGAAAGAAATAAAAAAGAGAGAGAGAGAGAGGACAAAAGAAGCAGATATGTTTTTTTTTTTTTTCGTTTTCTTTCTTTCCCACCTTTCGTTCTGTAAATAATTTAGTTGAGACGAATCTGTCGTGATGCTGGTGTTGGGGGAGAGTTAAACGATCCTGCGCCACGACGGGGAGTAGAGTTAAGAGACGAACGCCGAGTCACACTTGCCCCACGCGAACGGATACTGTCACCCGAAACAGACATATTGTCATTAGGTTTCAGTAACGCCCTTGCTTCCTCTATACTCCGCTCTAATAGCAACACAAGTGAGTCTTCACCTTCTTTTTGATATACGGTTCGCAGTCGTTCTGCTTCGTAAAGAGATGTCTGCAAGGTACTGCGCCAAGTTTCCATAATTTGTTTTGTTTCTGTCACTGTTTGGCGAAGAGTGTTGCATTCATCATCAATCTCCTGTTGACGCACACGCCGTGTTTCTTTCAATACTTGGTGAGCCTCAACAAGTTTTTCAAAACAAACCCGCGATTCCTTTATCTCTAACCGCATTTGGATTATTTCAAGATCTTCTGCTGGTGGAATAGATCCATCAATTTGATCGTCTCGATCTTGTGAAGTTCGCTGAGGACGAGACACAGTAGCTACATTTTTAATGTTTGTACCACGCCGAAGATGGTGTTGTAATTCATTGCGTCTTTGCAATAGCAACGCCTTCTGCGCTAAAAGCTCACCTTTCTCAATCCGCCAAGCTTCTATTTCCTCTGCATACTTTTCTTCCTCTTCTTCTCTTCGCTTTCTTTCTTCTTCTCCCATAGCTTGACTGTCATTCTTCCTCTTATTGCGCATCTGGTCTCTTTCAAGTATTTCCTTCTGAAGGCGGTCACACTCATCAAGAGCATTAACATAACGGCCCTTGGCCTCACGAAGTCCCTTCTCAGCTATAGCATTCTCCGCAAGAAGTACTTCCGTCTCACGTTGCATATCACGAAAAGCTCGATCTGAATCTTGTAGGTAACGTTTTTGGAAACCCATATTCCCTACATGTGATACTATTTCCATCCACGCGTTCACTTCGTTAAGAATGGATCGTATTGGTGGTTGTAGTACCGGTGGCGGGGGTGTTAGCCCCAAGTATCTGAAGACTGCTGGTTTTAGTGTTGTTGTTGTTGTTCTTGGTTTCTTTGTTGTTTCTGGCACTCTTCCTCCCCGCACTCCATTTCCTTTTGCGACACTCTTCCCGTTCATGCCAGTAGACTGTTTACTCCCAAACTCCAGTTTAGTTGCTGTATTACCAAACCGCGAGGAGGTGGCTGGGTTTGCGGTTGGATGTGGCGTTGGTGGTGGTGGTGGTAACGCTGCTGGTAGAGAATCCATCTCATCATCATCATCGAGATTCGCAACATCACGGATGCCATTAAAATAATTACTAAACGTAGTAGTATTATCACGGGAGACCCCGGTGCTGGTTTGTCCTGCACCTTCCAGCACCCCAAGCTCTATCCTGGGTTCCTTTTTTCCCTCCTCCTGTTCTTCCCTTTTTTCTTCTTGCTGTTGTTGTTGTTGTTGCCCTTCCTGCACCATCAGTGGAGCTTGACTGACATGAGTGGCCGCCATCGACTCCAACACCTCAAAGGCAATACTTGAATTCTCATCAGGTATCGTAGAGGCCCCCTTCTCAATATGAAACACCACAGATGTTGTCGGCGTTGGTGTTTCAGTATGAATAGTCCAAAACAACTCTACGCTTTCAGGGGTTTTAGATGCCGCATCGGGTGCCGATGGCACAAGTGGTGCCGCCCCTTTCACTGTATACTTTCCACTCCGCTGGGTTGCAGAAGCCTCTGGGGTGCCTACCGCACTCGCATGTAGTGGATCTCCTTCACTTCTGCAACTAACGCCGGTGGAGTATCGCACAGACCATCGTTTGGGTGTTCCGCGTGGTGGCCCGCTCGGTGTACGCCCACTACCAGTCAGCGGTGGACCACGTGTTGTGGGAACTGGCGGTGGGTTCGGCAAAACATGATGGATCTCTGGAGTAGACAATGTATGTTTTTCTTCACTATCAAGGCCTTCTTGCCGTGACATGTTTGATACTATGAATAATAACGATGATAATTTATATAGTACTAGTACTACTACTAGTAGTAATAGTAGTATTAGAACTGGTAACGGTACTTGATGCTATCTCTTAATTTCCTTTTTTTTTTCTTTTCGTCTTTTTGTTTGCAATATATATATATATATATATATACTTCGCTCTTTAAATGTTTTTTTTTTTCCCCCTTTCGTTAACGTGGATATGAGTCTATGTCAGGGCAGTGACAGGCAAAGAGCAGCAAACGTGATAAACCGGATACAGGCTCATGTATGCAGAAATAACAAGCGATATAGATAGATACACAGATAGAGTGAGAGAGAGATAGAGAGGGAGAGATATTCAAGAGACATGAACAAAACCAGGAAAAAAAAAGAAGGGAAGAAAGGTAAAAGAAAAAAATGTGGGAAAGAAGAAATGTAAAAAACTACAACAATGAAAAAAAAAAGAAAGAGTACGCCTCTACAAAAAAATGTTGTGCTCTTATTTCCCGTATAATTGGCACACACGAAAACGTACAACAATGACAAAACAGCGGAGGTGGTACTGGGATACAAACACATCTTATCAGACCTCTCTGTTACGGGATTGAGAAGGAATGATAAAATAGTGCGGAATCACACTAAAAACAGATATGAGCGTATCCAACATCACCATCACCCTTTTTTTTTTTTACCTTCACTCATTATCCCTCCTTTCTCTTGGGATTTTGTCATGTTTTTCTTTCTTTTTTTTCCCTTCTTGTTGTTGTGGGGCGAACCAAAAGTACGGTGTACCATCATTAAATATATCTTAAAGGTGCAGGAGACGCAATAATGGCTTATGAAGGGTAGAGGAGATATGAACAGCAGCGGCAACAGCAACAATGGCAGCCATTACCAGGAGAAGCTACACTATCAGTACCACACTGCTGAACATAATCATCCTTGTTTTCTCTTTTTCCTCCTTCTTTTTTTTTTTGTAATTCGTTTCGCCCCCACAAAAACCCACCAGTTCGCAAAAAGACATACATAGAAAAAGGTAATTAAACATACAGATAAAAAAAAAAAAAACAATGACTTTGTTCATATCTGAATAAATAAGTAAAAAAAAAAACATATACATAAACGAAATAAAAATTCTCAAAAAAAAAGCACTAGTACAGCGTTTTCATACCAAAGTAAAATTCACCAAAACAAAGAAATGAAGAAATGAGAGAAGGCATAGCCAAACGTAAAAAGGAAAAAAAAAAATAGCAGTGGTAACAGGAGAAGACAATCAAAGAGAACTCGAAGGAATACCGTTAAAATTGATAGTTAATATTTCACTTTCTTGTAATAGTGATACAATACCCTTACCCTTACTACTTGTATATACATATATATATTTAATATATACATATACACATCTATGTATATATTTTTTTTTTTTGCGTATAACAGAACTATTTGTATATTTTTATTCTTTGAAAGTCTTTGGTTCAATTTTTCTTTGTTCACTTTTATCATTTCTTTTACTCCATGCTACCCCAAGCAATTGTACGAAAAACCACTGCTCCTCCCACTGTTGGAGTGCAGTGGTCCTACATAAGACTTCGGAGGAAAAAATACATCTTTTTTTTCATGTAATCACTTCTTCATTTTTTTTTTTCTAATCTCATTTCTTCTTTACATATCTCTCACTCACATCTTACTTCTTCAGTGATATACACTTCTTCCCATTCAATAGATGTACCTTCGCTAGGGGCAGATCCATGGTGCACATCCTCACTCTGTGTCTGCGTTCTGTTATTTCGTACTGGTGACCGCAATCCATGGGAGATGCCAGGTGTGTCCTTGAGAGGCGAATGACGTCTCGGTTGCGATTGCGATTGCGGCTTGGAGTGATACTGATATGGATAATGGTCACTTTCTGTATCCTCAGGATCTGGTGCACTAGCAGGGGGAATATGATTTTCCTCATTTTCGTCGTGGAAGGAATAAATTCTTTTAACAGCAACCGCATGATAATTCATTGTGATTCCATTCTCATCACCGGAACGAGCGCCATTAGATGCAGAACGTTGCTCGACAGGATGAGAATCAGCGTCAGAGGCTGCGGCAGGAATTGACATACGAGGTGTGTGTGGCCCAAGCGAGCATCCCAAACGGATCACTCGTTGTGGTGGAATAGGAGGATCATTCCTGCGCAATAACCCATTATTCCTCCACTTTTCAAGAATGGCATTACATGCAAGTGCTTGCTGGTGTAATTGTTCTGAATTTCTCCCGCCGCGTCCCGTTGGTGTGTGTGAACGAGCACGTTCACTGGATGCAGCTCTGTCTCCCGCATTGTGTCTTGAGGGACGCCGTGGTGTAGTTGATCCATACGTGCGTGGAGTATGGGATATGGTGGAGTAAAGTGTTGCGTTTCCTGCGCGAGGAGACCGTAATGAAAAATATGTTCCTGGAGGAGGTGGACTTCCTCCACGGGGAGACCGTGAACCTCGCCTTTCAGGTGATATACCTCCCGAAGGACGAGTTGTACGTGGAGTACGAGGAGCTTTAGCCGCATCTGCTTTATTACCAGCATGTTGAGTACGTGGAGTACGAGGAGCTGCAGCTGCATCTGTTTTGTTACCAGCATGTGGAGTACGTGGAGTACGAGGAGCTGCAGCTGCATCTGTTTTGTTACCAGCATGTGGAGTACGTGGAGTACGAGGAGCTTTAGCCGCAGTAGCATTACTCGTTCCACGTGGCGATCCAGCAGTTCGAGGTGTACGAGGAGCTTTAGCCGCATCTGTTTTATTACCAGTACGTGGAGTACGAGGAGCTTTAGCTGCAGTAGCATTACTCGTTCCACGTGGCGATCCAGCAGTTCGAGGTGTAGAGGCTTCCTTTCCTTTATGTGTTGGGGTATTAGCCTTCGGTGACTTTGCGGTATTATCCTGTGCTTTTGGCTTCTCTGTGTGCTCGCTATCTTTCGGCTTTGCTTCTGCTGCTGCTGTTGTTGTTGGAGCTCCTCCTTCTGCTTCGGGTACTGCTGCTGCTGTAGGTGTTCTTGTGGCGGCGCTTGCCTCTTCGTCCCCCTTTTCTTCCACAAGCTCCAAACTTTCCGGGTCTGACACACTCTCACTCTCATGTCCATCCTTAACAACATTATGACTGTTGTTGTTGTTGTTGTTCTTGTTAACACTGTCATCTTTGTGGCCTGCCATGCCGGCGAGTACGGCGCCAAGACCTGTTGGCTGCTGCGGTTTCTCATCATGGATCTGCAAGAGCATTCGCATCCCATCAAATGGATACGTGTCGAGTGCTTGTTGCACAGTCGTCTCTGTAAAAGTTGGTTCATGCACAAGTGCGATCTCCGCCACCATCCGATCGCCGTCCATCTCAAGTGAGACAATGCGGATGGAATTATCGGGAATACGCACCGCCTGCGATGTCTCGTTGAGAAGTGTGCGCTCCACTGTGTCCCGTGCACTGCTGAGCAGCGATGCCCACCCGCTTCCATGAAACGACCGCCGATGCGTCGTTACGGCCACCGCACCGGTTGGAGTTTTTGTGACGGTGGTGCTGGTGGTGTTTGGTGTGGGGCGTGGGAGGGGCTTCGGCGGCGCCGCGGTGGCCGCCTCTGGGGCCTCGGAGCCGAACTCCGAGAAGGTCTCCCCCTCGTCCCGCGGCCCTGTTGCCTTCTTCGCATCCGCGTGGGGGGACGGGTGCTGCTGGAGCTCCTGCGTGGAGGGCCGCCGCGGGGTCTTCACCGGCTCGGTGTGATTTGCCGCATGGCCCTCCGCATCGCGGGCACGCAGGGAGAGACGCCGCGGGGGTGCACTCAACCCGTGGAGAGCAGAACCGGCCGGGGCCGTGGCCGCATGAGGACTATTGCAGACTTCATCAGAAACGTGAGCGTGAGTCTTGGATAACCCGTTATTGTTGTTTGCCGCTTGAGTGTTTAATGCCTCATCAACTAACATTGCTTTGTTTTCCTTTTTTGGTGATTGCTTTTCCTTCGTCTCCTTTGCCATTGTACTCTCTCTTTATTCGGCTAGTCTTTCTTTTTTTTTTTTTTCCTTGTTTTTGTCTTTGTGACTCGACTTGAGTGTCTTTTTTTTTTATTTGGTCTGGAACTTCTCCAAATTCCTGGTTTATATAATTTTCTTGCTTCCTACTACGGTTCTATCATGAAAAAGGGAAAGAAAAGAGTGGGGAAAAAAGAAAAGTCAATCATACAGCAAACATCAAATACATATAGATAAAAAAGGAGAAAGGAGATCATATATATATATATATATTTAACATCAGAGTAAAGAAAAAAAAAGAATGCAAAAAAACCATCGCATAATCCTCCAGTCTCGAATCTTGTATAGAGGATCCCACATACAAAAGGTTACTTTTATTTCACCTTTTCCCTTTCTTTTTTCTTCTTTTCCTCCCTTATTCCTTTTCACAGTTTTTTTTTTCTCTTCAGAGTCTCACCTCCACACCTAATACCTCCGTGAGTTCCTTCTCCAACCGCTCCTTCAGCGAGTGTCCATCACTATCGGCAAGCCACTGCACATCTTCACTATTATTACTACTACTACTATTCTCTGGTAGAATCATATCATAGTGATGAGGGCCGGAAATGGGAGAGGAAAGCCATAATTGCACATTTGGTGCCTGTTTATTTAACACAAATGTACCACGTGAGGTGGTCTCAATGGTGAGCACACCACCAGAGAGATTTACATCATCAATGGCATCAGCAGCAATATCTTCAAGAATGTTATCAATATTTTCAAGAAAGCCATCGGCTGCGGTATTGTACGTGACATCTGTGAAGCCGTCCATACCGAGACGTGAGTGGCCTGCAGTGTTTACACCACACGCGAGTAACCGCGTTGCCGCATAATAACAACTTTGCGTGCGACCATACAAACCAGTTGTGAGTAAACGCCGTGTTATCACTGTTGCTATTGATGATGTTGTTGTAATGGGTAGGAAAGCTGGTACAGTTACTCTTCTTCTTACACGGCGCATCCGTTATGAGTAGCGTATTCACCTTCACAGATATATAAACTGCAGAGATGAAGTCAAGAGAAAAAAGACACAGAATCCTCTTATATATATAACCTTTCTTTCTCAATTAGAACGTATCATTACAAGCAATAATAGGTGAGGATGAAGAGAGAAAGAGGAGAAAGAAGAAAAAAAGTGGATAGAAAAAAAAATGTGTGTAATGTATGTATGTATATGTGATAAGGAAAAAAAAAAAAAAAACAGTTTAACAGCATACATTTATAGTTAAAAATACAGATTATATTAGGATACACACACACACACGCACATACAATGGTACACTTCGGTGCAAGCACCACATCTCAAGAAGCCCAATGTTGTCCATTGACTCCCCAAATGTAAATATACCAATACAATAACAGTACAGAGCCTCCCCCACCACCCACACACAGACACAGACACAGACACAGACGCACAGAGAGTACAAAATCTACATTATATCTAACCAACAAGTACCAGCATCAGCCGAACATATAGGATATACAAAGAACCACGATTAACAATAATAATAATAATAATAATAATAATAATAATAATAATAATAATAATAATAAAAGATCCAGAAAAACGAAAAAAAAGAGACAAAATGAAAAAAAAAAAAAAAACGTTGCAAAGTACAGAATAATAATAATAATAATAATAATAATAATAATAATAATTTATACTCTCAGCCTATATTACCGTGAAACCTGCTATCGTCCAGATCGCTGCAGCAACAACTTCTCCGCCCACAAACCACGGGCCACCGTCGATACATCCGACAAGGCATCCGGTCGGGGCACCGCGCCGCTCTTCGGCACAGGCGCGAGATACGTAATCGTCACTGGACGCTGCGGTGGTGTTCGCCGCAGATAATAAAGTCTATTCGACACATCTTCCTCATCTGCGTGGTAACGACCATACCGCTCTTGTTGTTGTTGTTGTTCCTCCTTCAGTCTTTGCCGCATGGACTCTGTTTGATATGCCCCACTGACGGCGTTTAAAAGACGAGAGGCGGCCACTGCCAACTCCTTCTCCTCACGTTTTGTTGAGGGATTAGGACGAAGGCGATACTCCGTTTGCGGCGATCCATTTCTTCTTTTACTTCTTTGATTGCCGTGTACTATTTGCGCCCGTACACGGCGTTCCACATCTCGATATCGTGTTGACTGTTTCAACGGGTCATCATTCCACATATCAGAAGGTGAGAAGTCTTCTTCTCGATGATTTTCATCATGACGACGACGACGACGACGACTTCGACTGTGAGGACGACGATAGGAGCGCTCCCCTCTTGCAGTATCACTTGAGTGTTCACTGCTACTCTCTTCATCGTGTGAAGAGACGTCGTCCTTGTAACGTCGCATCATTTCCTTTTCCCGTTTTTCCAATTCTTTTCTTTTGGTCTTGCTGTGGCCAGCAGGATGATCAGAGGCACGTGATTTATGTTTAGATCGCTTGAGAGCATCACTTGCGCTCGACCACGCACTAACGGCATCCTTCTTTTTCCCTCCCTTCGTTCTTTTTTTACTTTTCTTTTTGGTGGTACTACTACTGCTGCTATCGCTTTCACTGCTAGTACTACTACTGCTACTGCTACTACTACTGCCACTGTTTTTGCGGTGTTCGGATGATGTCCGTGAGTTCATACTATCATCAAGGAGAAGGTGTGCGTTCTTGCCTTCACGTTTCAGAAAGTGTTCAAGTAATTTCACACGATGTTCTAGCGTAGATTCCTTCTGTGCATATAGTGCCTTCATACTACGCATATGTTCCTCATGACTCTTACGTTGTTGAGCTAGTTTTTGTTCAAGCTCTGCTTGTTGCTTCTTTGACTGCTCAAGAGCCTCCTGAAATCCCGTCGTATCACTTTGTTGAACTCCTCCCTTTCCTGAATTTGTTGTTGGAGGAGCTTGTAATGCGAGTTGTTGAGAATTATGCACAATTTCTTCACGCCACCGCATTGGTGAATCCCAACTGTTGGACGTATCTTCCTTATTAGCCGTTATCCCAATAGCTGACCCAGTGGGTGTATGTGTAGGCTGGAATGTCGCAAAGGGCAATAACAGTGATGACTTATTTTTTTTCTCCGTAGGTGTTGTGAACTGCAGACGGTTTAGAATTTGTTGTTGATACCATTGCATATCACTTGCAAAGTCCTGCATGAGAAAAGACACCGTTTCTCGCAGTAAATGTACTTCACTACGTAATTCTCTCGCAGCTCTGCTAAGACGGTTCACAAGTACTGCACGAAGGGCATCCAGACGTGTGCGTAGTAGCATGAAATTATCTTCCAAATCATCATTATGTGTATCCAGACGATCGTACATTTCTTTTAATGACTCAAGTTGCTGTACAGCTCTAGTGTAGTGTTGTTCCAGTGATTCTACAGCCTTAGATGGGGAACCAAAACCCCGTCCTTGTTCTTCCTTTTCTTTTTCTTGTTGAATATCTGTGGTTTTTATCTTATCCTTAACAAATAATACCCTTCTCTCTGTTGGCATTTTGCCGTGGTTCATCTCATCCTTCAGATTACTGCTGCCCGAAACGGAATTGAGGTCCTTCGGTAACTCCGTAAAACTTTTCGAAGACGGTGAACGATCCATCTACTATAGGTTAAATACAGAAACAGATATGTATTTATAGATAGATAGATAGATATAGATAATCTTTTCTCTTTTACACCTGTAGCCAACAGGGGTTTGTATGTATTGAGTAAACCAGGAAAGACAGTATGTTTCCTGTACAAACCTTTACTAGCGAAATGACCGTAAATGAGAAAATAAAAAGAAAGAAAATAGGAAAAAAAAACACACACACGGAAAAATCACAGCACGAAGAAAAAAAGAGTATAGCCGCAGTTCATTCATCCACAGAAACGAAAACTCCCTTTGGGTATAAATATATTGAGAGGAAGAAGATAAAAAAAGTCGAAACGCAGAAAGAGAAATATCGTCACTTTTCAATTCGTTGTAAACAGCACTTGAACTAAATGCAGAGGGATGATCATAAAAAAAAAAAGAAAAAGGAAAAAAAAAAACTAAAAACAAATAGGTTGGAAGCAAGAAAAGCAATATAAATGATAAAAGTACCTAATACGCCATACTAAGAAGATCCCCATAATCGTCCACCTGCTTGATGGGTGGGACCATTTCAACATTGAGAGGAGATTCACTCTGATCACGCTGCCGCAACTCTCCTACACTATTATCACCAGAAAGTGAATAACACTGACGATGATAATACTCCTCTTCTGTTTCAGTGGTTTGATTATATGAAAGTTGTATACTATTTTCGTACAGCCTCTCCATAGTTTCCCGAAACTGTTCAAGTGTTAGTCCATTTTCTGTTTGCTGCAATTGCTCCTGTCGTGGACTCCGCAGCGACAACCCACGTTTACACAAGTTCCGTACCTCAACAGGCAAAGAAGACGGGATACCACACCCAAGCGGTATGGTCACTCGCACTAAAGGAACATCATCATCATCACTATCATCATCATCACTATCATTATCGAACAAATTTGATGTTTGCAACTCTGGATTGGCAAAAACACACATAGCAAGTTCTTCTTGTCGCCCAAATGATCGGTACGGCGGCTCATTACTGATAAGAGCAATAAAAAGTTGTGTAAGAGCATAACAGACTGGACTTGCGGCGTGTGGATGGGGTTTCCAGCGACTGAATGGTCCATATTCCACATATAGTGGAGGAGCATACATGACCGCAAATGAACCGGGTGACGGTAATTGAATACAACTCTCACCGCCAATGGAATTTGTGGGAACTGTAGGGGATTCATTGTTTGACGGCCATTCCCATACTTCTTCCCGGCCAACATCCACCTCTTCTCTTTCTTCTTGTTGTTCTTGTTCTTGCTGTTCTCTCCATTCCCTCTGAGTTAATAACGGAGAGACAAGAATATGTGATGGTGATACCTCCATCCACGCTGCGGACGTCTCAGCTGGGACTTGTGGTTCATCCATGAGAATATAATGAAGTGCGTCTGCAACTTGCAGTGTTATTTCCATTGCCTCCGCTATTGTAAAGCGACGCCGTTGTGTAAAGAGAAGATCATGCAGAGATCGATACGTCACATCCGCATCCTCAATACCCTTCATAGGGCGAAGGGTATACAATGGTCTATACATATTGGGAGTTCCATTATTATTATTATTATTATTATTATTATTATTATTATTATTATTATTATTATTGTCGTTGTTGGTATTTCTTTTGGTTATGGACTCCGCCACGAGATGTGTAACGTCTTCCATAATAATCCCAAGTGCTAGTGTGGGTGTTATTTCACCTTTACCATCTTCAGACAACTTCTCCTCGGAGGATTGCATCTTCTCTGTAAAGGCACCAATAAAAGGAACCACATTTGGATGACACCATCGTGAACGGCAGACCATATCCTGTACAAAACTCATAACTGTGTTTGGAGAAATCACATCGACAAACTTTCCATCTAATTGCCGCAATACTACAGACATTCCTCTGTAACTATATCCCCGCTCTGTGGAAAACACATTATGTGCGTTTAGAAACCCTGGAGTAAAACTATCCATTGTAGTATCTTTCTTCTGTACATCACCTTCAGAAGAAGAAAAAGATGATGATGATGATGGTGGTGGGGTGAGTATCTCAAATGGCACTTTCCATTCACTTAAGTTATGACGCCGGAAAGCGTTAATAATTTCTTCCTTCGTAAGAACTACATCATTTACAAGTGAACCCTCACGTTGTTGTTCTTGTTGTTGTTGTATTAGTGTGGCAATGGGACCATCTCTTAACTCCTCTGTTCCCATGATCTCTAGAAAGAGTTTTGCACACTGCACTTCATCCTGTTTGACAGCCGTTTGTTTCTCTGCTGCCCACTTCTCTGTGGAGTGCATATGCCACACCTGCGGAATACGCTGAAGTACACCATCGAAGAGTGCACTACAAGTGAAATGATGTCGTAATAACTTCTGCCAATAGTCATCGCAGTGCATACATTGTAGGAGGAAATCCGCGGCGAGAAAGACTGTCATGATCTGCGGTGTTGGTGTTGGGTCCGGTAGTCGTGATAGCATAACCGCAACAAACTGCAGCCGTCGGAGAAGCAGAGCACATTGGGCTTGATTGATGCGTGCAACTGCGGCTGCTGCGCGGATGGATTGTAATAATGACTCAAGTTGAGTTAAATTATAAGGGGAACACTTATCCATCACCTGTTGGCTCATGTATATATATGTATATATATATATATAGTCTTCTATATACCGTGTATTCTTGTTTATTTCTTGAGGTCTCCTCTTTTTTACCTCCTTTTGTTTTTGTTTTTTTGTTTGGAATAAAGATATCAGAAAGGTGCCACAAAATAAAAATCAAAATAAAAATAAAGAAGAATAAAAAGAAGAAATAAATGATCACCAACCATAAACCCAAATTCCCCCACAAAACATCTCAACATTTGCAAAGTTTCCGTTGATGTTTCTCTTTCTTTTTTCTTCTTCTTTTCTTCTCATTCCTCACTTTTACTCTTTCAAAAATATGCAATCATATATAAATATGTGTCTCTGTATGTATTTCTACACAAGAACAGTAGGAGCAATATGCAGTAATACTTCAGTTTACATTCGAAATGGTGGACAGGCAATGAAACTCACAGCGGGTGATAGACGATAAAAGACACCATCAACATGAACAACATTCTTTTCATCATTACTACTCACATCACTAGGAGCAACAACACGACTGCGATTTGGCAACACCTTTTCTTGTTGTTGTTGTTGTTGAGATTCTTTTGTATGTAAAAGAAGGTCCTGTGTAATGTGTCGAGCGTATTCGCGATCAGATGGCTCAGATTGCCTCTTGTTTAGCATCATCAGCATATGTTCAATGGTGGAATCCCATTCTACTGAAGAGGTGTGTCTACTAGGGGTTTTAGTAGGGGATTCTTTTCGAGTCATAACTCTTTCTTCATGACTGGTCTTCATACTCATCACTTTAGTGGGTTTCGGTGGTATAAATCTCTGTTCAGCTTCCTGCAGGTTTGGTGTGGGGTTTGCGGGATAAACGTTAAGAGTCTCTGGTATGCGTGGTGATGGTGATGTTGTTAAGAAATGCGGGTCTCCATATGAGGGCCTATGCACAGCGGGTGTTGTTAAACCTGAACTGAAAGCATTATCCATAATACTACTAGTATTATTGTTAATGGTAATATTAGTATTCGTAGTATTGACAACGGCACGAGGTGAACGGGGTGGAAGCGGTGAAATATCTGGTTTCGCTACCTTGTTAATATCATTCCCATTGTTATTATCATTGTTGTCATGATTCTTCTTATTCTTTTTCTCTTCTTCCCTCCTCATGTAGTTTACTTCCAGTAGAGAGTTGGAGGCTTCTGAAGTGGCGAGTGGACAGTTCGGTGGTGTTGACGGTGATAATGGGAGACTTCTACTCTTACGAATCACACGCGGAAACACACATCCTTCTAATAATAATGAAGAAAAGTGCGGTGAAACAAGAGCCGTACCATCGGCAGCAAACAAAACCGACTGGGACTCTGTAGGAAAATGAATAGGTGAATATAATAATAGTTTCTGTTCTTCTTTTTCTTTTTCTTGTTGTTCCTCTTGCTGTTGTTTTTGTTTTTGTCGTTCTTTAATAGCGGCAGTACTCCATCGTGCGGTGGGGTCGTTGTGTAGATTGTAGCGCATTGGTGGTGGTCTCCCACAGGCGAGTTGATGCCGCAGCAACAAGTGAGCAATGAGACTGTGTGGATTGCGTACTTCTGTCCACATATCACTATACCGGAGGAGCGGCAAGGCGGGATAATGACAAACACCGAATGTATTTAACTGTGGGAGTTGCACAAGTGTGAAGTCGTGATAAAAGCCCACAAATTGTGCACCCTTTGTGTGGGTGGCAGAGAGAATACCTAAAAGCACACGCAGTACCGCCAATGGAGATTCATTCTCTGGTACAATACGGAATAACACATCTTGTTGTTGCTCTTGATAGATTGGAGATAATAACGGTAAAGAGGAGGAAGTAGAAGAGGATGTACGTTGTAGTGGTGTTTCCTCCACGGGATGTGTAGATGCCATCACTCGAAGCCACATCCAAGCATCGAAGATAATTCCCACCTTATCTATATCGACAAGAGAGACATAACGTAATAGGGTAGCGTTTGTATTATATATATATAATCCCGTCCATGTTAGTAATACAATGGCCTTTATGGTAGTCCAATGCATTTGTAGTTCCCCATCTTCTCTCACAGAACAGAGATCTTTCTTATCATAATATGAAGACTCTGTTTGTTCATCTACATAACTCCTTAACGTACCTTCACCATGTATACTACTAGTTCTACTAATACTACTAGCAACAGCAGGAGGAATAGCTGCACCACCACTACTACTACTATTAATACTATTATTATTATTACTATGATTACTACTACTTGTACTCTTCTTGTTCTTATGGGCAGAATAGTTTCCATCTGCCTTTTCACTGTTGTTCACTGGTATAGCAATAGCGAGTTCCACCTCCGCTGCAAAGTAAACACGTGCGATTCCCTCTTCCTGTTCTAATAACATTTGAAATAAATCATGACGACAGTTTGGAAGCCACTTGTAATCTGCCAACACTGCGGAGGTTCTGTTATCAACGGGATCCGGCCATCGTGAAGGTATTTCCATTATGCACTCGCTTCTGTAACTATGAAGTGAAGTGAGAGGAGAGAGAGAGAGAGAGAAAAAGAGTGAGATTGTATTATAAACGCCAATATTACAACGACAACAATAAAAACAATAATAACAAAAAAGAAGAATAATAGCGGTACAAGTATTAGTAGTCATATTAATAATAGTAATATTAGTAGCAACAGAAAGTACTAATTGGTTTGGCCCCAGCATCAGGGAAAAACAAGAACAATAAATAGGTACAGCCTTACGGCACATATTCAACTGTATATCTGTGAATCCAACATCCTTTGAACTTACACCCACACCTGTTTCCATCAGAGAAACAATAAGAATAATAATAATAATAAAAACAGGTACCACAAGTTCAGGAACATCTTTCGTTAATAAAAGTCCTCCTCTCCAAACTCAGTATATTTCTCTGTACTAGTAGTAGTACTAGTAGCTGTTCCGCCAATACTGCTACTCTGGTTCTTATTAACATTATCATCATTATTAGTATTACTATTAAGATCATCCCCAAATCCAACATCAACAACACTACCACTACCAAGACTATAACCACCAGTATTAATATTCTCATTTACGTTTGTTTGATTTGTGCTACTCTTGTTCTTGTTTTTCTCTGCTACAAGTCGACTCCGCAGCTCGGCTTCTCCGGCCTGTATGTAATGCACTGCAGCTGCAATATCACGATCACCCATACCTGCATCGGAGGCTGCTGCTAATGAACGCAGTGCGGCATCCAACACCGGAAACGGTTCATCCTCTTCTTCTCCTTTTCCTCCTCTTGTTACTATTCGACTTTGCTTTAAAAGCGAGGCATCAAGAAGGGAGAGATCCTGCAGCAGCTTATCTACACTGGCGGTGGATGTTGGTGGGAGTTTGTCTGGATTGCGGATGAGATCCTGCAGGAGTGGGGCATTGCGGCGCAGCATCGTACTTCCCCCCCACGAGGCGTCCAACACCTGCACGAGTTTCTTCTGATCCTCCACGCCGAGGCGGTGGGCCATCGTGAGGGCCTCCGCGGCAGCGGCGTTGTGGGCGGCGACGAGGGCCTGCGTGATCATTTTAGTCGCGGAGCCGCTGCCGCTCTCGCCCATGTGAATCACATGGTCGGCGTACATGTGAAAGATGGGAAGTAATCGCTGAAACGACTCCGCGTGGCCGCCGACCATCAACAGCAGTTGGGCATTAAAACACGCACGCGGACTGCCACTCATCGGGGCATCTAAAAAGTACGCCCCACGCCGCTCCGCCTCATGCGCACACTCCCGCGAGGTCTCCGCATCTACAGTGGTGTGATCCACAATGATTTGACCCTTGCGGGCATTGCGCACGAGAGCCTCGTTGTGTTCAAGCAGCACATGTCGGGCGGCGCCAACATCGGCGAGTGTCAACAAGAGCACATCACACCATTTCGTCATGGTGGCGTAGCGGTCGTGTATGCGCATCGCACAGGCGGCACCGTCAACGGCGAGATCATCACACACACGGCGGGCCTTCTGCAGAGTGCGGCTGTGTAGTTGTAAATAAACAGCACCGCGGGATTTAAATCCAATATTGCGGGCAATGGGAACACCCATGTTACCCATTCCCACAACACCAACGTTGAGGGAGCGTTTCGCCACGGACATATATATATATCTATTTATTTATATATAAATGGGTGTATGTGTTTATGTGTGCTTGTATATAATATATAGAGGGAAAGAGAAAATGAGAAAATGAGAGGGAATAATTAAAAAAAAAAGAAAATTTAGGGTCATTAGTTAAGGCAGTGAAAACAATAAGGAACAACAGAGATAGATAGAAAGAAAGAAAGAGCGAAAATGGTGGTGATCATTGTGAGCGAATATCAGCAAGACGCAATAAGACACAAAAAAAAGTATTTTCTCACGCAGTAACCACATGAAGTTATACATGTGCAAGAAAGAGAAAAGGGAAATGAATACAACAACAACAAAAAAAAGACACGCACAAAGAGATAATAACAAGTCATCCAAAACTCTGCAAAAATCAGAGTTTCTCATTTTTTTGTTGTCTTTCTTTTTAGATATTCCCCCCTCTTCCTTTTTTCTGTTTTTCATTTTCTACTTTTTTCCCTTTTCTTCTTTTGCTTTCTTCGCCAGATCTGAGTTTTCTTCATTTCTCTTGTTACACTTAGGCGATTGCAGCTCTCATGCCAGTGAAGGGAAGAAGATCATCATCATCACTAGCAGTTCCTCCTTTTCTCTTTCGTTTTTTCTTTTTTTCTTTCATTTTTTCTTCTTCTTCTCTCCACAAACACAACTATATATATATATATATATATATATATATATATATATAAATCTGTGTTTGGATGTACTGTTGACTAGACTATGCGCCTAATATAACGTTGTTGATGGGAATGAAAATAACCTTCACGAAGAAGCCGAGGAATCCCATCACGACAAATCCCACAAGTGTTGCCATTCCAGATGTGGTGAATTCACTGTAGTTTGGCTTCTGGCACTTGCGCACCAACATACGGCTGTTGCGGATAAACGCCATAATGGGGTATATCACAGTCTCATCAAGGAAGTCCATTTTTTTTTTTCTTTTTTTGGTTTCTCGTGTGTATATATATACAGAAATAGTTTATTTCGTTTTTTTTGTTTTTCTTTTTACCTTTGTAAGGGTGAAGAGCGTACCTTTACAGCTAAGTGTAGCACTATGGGTTTCTTAACAAAAATAAAAAAAAAATGAAAACAAAAATAAAAAAAATAATTTATTCATACATAATAATAACAATGAGGGGAATACATTACTAGAGAGAACTCTTCCACATATACACACACACATACACTCCAATGTGTTAGATACATTTGTAGGTATGTTATACACATACACACAAACAGAATAAGAGAGAATATGATGAAGAGGAAGAGTGGGGAGGAGGAGGAGGAGGGAAAACAAAAAGAAAGAAAGAAAGAAAAAGAGAATTCCAAGAATACACGGCAAACATATCTCTTTCCAGAAACAGATACTTATTCTTCTTTGATTTTAGTCTTCTTCCCTTTATTATTATTATTATTTTTGGATCTCTTCATTTCTCAGGCTTCTTCTTCTCCAGTCAAACTTCATTTTTTTTTTTTTTTTGATTTACCGCCAGTAGTTCAAACAATCCAATGAAGACATTTTACACCGACAAACAAAAAGAAATGAACTCCTCGTCCAAAATCTATGTTATCTATGCTGCTGCAACATCACACAGTATACCAAACGCAGGCAGAGTTAATAAGGCAAAACATTACTTGGTTCAGCTTTTATTTTCTCTCTATTATCTTTTTCCTTTTTTTTTCTTTTCCTCTCATCCAATACATATGTTTCTCCTTCTGCTGCTAATTCTCGTGAACAGCATCGCAGAAACAAATCTATGGGGCCATATAATAACCCTTTTCCACACCCGAATGCAGCCACAATTAAAACACCACCACCACCACCACCAATAATATTAATAATAATAATAGGAAAAGAAAGCACGGCATTGCCTTCTCTTTTTTTAATTTCTCTCTTAATTTTCTTTATCTTTCTTATTTCCCATCTGTACACCTCATCTCTCTTTCGTATGTTATTTCCTCACCCTCTCTCTCTCTCTTTCTCTCTCTCTTCATCTCTATATAATATGATGATCATCCGCAACTCCCAGAGTCTAGGTTGACCCTTTTGAAGTGTCCTCACATCACCTCTTTTGGTTGTTGTTTCTTTTTTTTTTTTCGTCTTCTTTTGTTTCACTTTATTGTCTCTCTCTCTCCTTCCGTTTTTTTCTTTATCTTTTCCAATCGGTATTTCATGTATTCCTTTTTAAAAAATGTAAATAAACAAATCAAATCTGACACACCCACTTCCACTGTTATACCTCTCCCTCATATAGGTATTATCGTTATTTCTACGGTAATGATATAGTTCGTGGTGTGCTGTTTAACAACAAAGGTCTATTTCTCTTACTGTGCGGTTGGCATCAAATCACCGGCGTAGAATCCCTCTTGTGCATCTAATGCAGGATTCTCATCCTGCTGCAGCAGCGGTTCCACCTTCGCATCGTGATTGGGCAGACAGAAAAAGACAACACTGCAGCGACTGCTGCCATCCTTCACACTTCGCACACGATGCGGTGTTGCCTCCAGCAGACCACCTGTCCATTTCTCAAGAAATATACCAGCGTTAACCAGTAGCGCATCATTAAGTACAGGCACCGTAATGTACTTTTCCTCCTCATCATCCCATACTTCTAAACCACCAAGGGCATCCTGTGCGAGTAGTGTAACAGTACTGAGATCCTTGTGTGTATCAAGGCGAACCATCTCATCACTGTTATTATTATTAGTATTATTATTATTATTGCCGTTGTTATTATTATTGCTGTTGATGTGTGGTTGGGCGAGTGGTCCTTTACGTCGAATCACCTTTGCGCCTGCCCGCACCTCCACGCCTTGTGTGCGTCCGCCCCGCACGACGTGTCCGAGTGGCGGATAATATTTTGCCTGCAGATCACAATCGCAGCGGTCGTGAAATGGTGTGAAGAAGTCCATATCGTAATCGCTGTTTGGATCGGCGCCCCCCTGCGGTGTGGTTGGCCGCACGCCGAGCCCACAACTGATATGCCGCAGCACATCCAGCGAGACGGCGGCGCAGAGATCATAATAGGCGAGCAGCATCTCGCGATAGTCCGCCATGAACGTGTCGCTCCCCCGCCCGCCGCCTGCGCACGGGTGCTCGAGCAGCACCTCCCACGGCGTCGGCCGCGCAATCAGCGGCGTGTACTCCGCCGGGGCCCAGCCGCTCAGCCGGTAGTACGGCTCCCGCAGCTCCGCCGGGTTGGGCACCTCGCGGCCGACGGAGAAGCACTCAATCGCATCGTCCACCCCACTCGCCCCAACGTAGCGGTAGTACCCGCGGAAACCAGACGGCGTCGTGAGTTTCTCCAACTCGTGCGGAGTCATGGGAAGAATATCCGTTCGCGGGGCGGGGCGCTTCCCACCAGCGGGACTCGGCGTCGCCACCGCAGGGGGGAGATCAAGAATGTAACGCTCAAAGAACTGACGACTATCGCGATGAAGTTGATCCAATATCTCTTTTTGAATAAATGGATGCTGCACATAACAGTAACCATGTACTTGTAGGGCCTCTAATAACGCATTACTAGCCGTTTCCGTTACATTTTCCGCACCGCGGCCTATTTTCACAAGAGTAGAAAAACGACAAAAGGTACGACGCATTTTTTTTTTTTTTCCTTTTCAATTTTAATGAACTTTTGTCTTGTCTTTGAAGTTTCGCTTTTTTTTTTTTTGTTTTTACCTTGTTCACGTTTAAACGTATAAACACGTTTCTTTTTCTTCTTTTTCTTTATGATAGATGGGAGGGAGGAGGACTGCCGTTATTGATTCCCTCTCCTCAGTTTATTTGTTCACGCTTTCCTTCGCTAACTCGATTTTCCTTTCGTTATTTCTCTATATTATCACACGTACTTTCTCAACTTGATCTACACTGTTCGTGTGGTCTCTTTCGTTCTCTTTCTATATATATGTATGAATCACTATATCTATATAGATAACTCTATGAGTTTAATGTAAATCAACACACAAAAGAGGTTGGGAAAGAAAGAGGAAAAAAAAGGGGGGAGGGGGAAAAGATCACCTGTAGAGAATAGTATATATATCATAACGAGAAATAACAAACATATCTTTTCACGTGTGAGAATCACACCATCATACCAGTAACAGAAATCTGTTAACAAGAATTCAAAATGATGCATCAAAGAAATGTAAAACAAAGAAAAAAGAACTGTCAAATAAACCACTACAACATGTTCCTCTATTTACATATATTTTGATTGCAATACAACAAGAGAAAAATGAAATAAAATGATGTGTCTGTCTGTCTCTCTGCCTGTCTGTCTAAAAAGAGATACGGCAGAAAGGAACAGTAAAGGGAGAAAAAAAGAAATATGCATAGATATAGCAAAGAATGAAAAAAAAAAACAAAAAGAGAAAAAAAAAGTCTCAGCAACACTGCTAAAAGGCCTCTCTCTCTCTCTCTCTTTTACTCTACAATTCCACATATAAAGAAAACAAAACAGAAAAAAAAAAAAACACACACACACATATATATCACATTACATATTAACTACAGGACTATCAAGTAAACGAGCATGAAACTCCTCCAGGTCCCGCTCTACCGCCTCCATAATAGTCTCTTGCTGCAGCAGCAACTCATCATAGTCCACAACCGACTCGTAAAATGCACGCTGGCACCGCGGTGAAAGTGGCAGTGACTCCTCGCGTTGTTCATATCTGCGCAACAACTCCGCGCCGTCCTCTCCGCCGATTGCATTCGCGAGATCCACCAGCAGTGCCTGCCAGCGGCGGGAGTAATAGCGGTAATTGTGATAAGCCTCCACAATGCGTTCATCCAAGAGTTGACTGGGCACCACTCGGGGCGCATCCACCGGCTCCGCCGCATCCCAATACGCCCGTCCAGCCAACGCATCACACTCCCGCACATCACCGTTGGGAAGGGAAACAACTGTAAATCGCGGTGGTGGTTCCACATCATTATTATCAACTGCCATTTGTTCTTGTTGTTCGCCTTGTATTTGCCATGATGTTTTCCTGCAAACACTATTCTCTAATTGTGTGTGCAGTGAGACGAGGGTTCCACCCACTTCGTCGTCGTGGCGGCTTGGATCTTTGGATTCATTAAGTGAGTGTGTGGGAATATCCATACGTCCCTTGTGATCTCTCGCAACAATAACATTCTCACCGGTAAAACAGTTTTTCAAGTGATCGGGAAGTACGACTGGTGGTTTCTTAAAGTGCTTTGCAAGCTCAGCAGTATAGCGTTCAAATTCTTTTTTAGCCTTTTGCAATTCATCATCTCGACTCATAAGCAATTTCTTATAAAAGTCAGGGGATGCTCTGTTAAGGGGTACATCGGCAACTGTAACCATAGCGGCAATGGAATTTGTGGATGTTGATGAGAGATCTGAATGGGCGGGTATTACTTCTGGTTGTTGAGGCTCTGGTTCCACTTCTGCCTCACAGAAAGAGTAACGATCTCGTATGAAATGTAGAGAAGGTTGTTGTAAACCAAGTTGATGATCTCCCTCTTTGCGAAAACTAACCATACGTGGATCAAGGGATTGTTTCAACTGATCTAATTGCTTTTCAGCTTCTTCAACGCATCGATCAAAGTGTGTGCCAGCCTGCAGTAGTTCTTCACCACGTTGAAATAATATCTGTCTATAATACTCGGATGAACCTTCAGACTCCAATCCAGATTCCGGCTTTGTTTCTTCTTTTGCTTTTTCTTCTCGTTGTTGCTCTTGTTGTAAATTCTTTTCCAAAGGGCATGGTAGTCGTTTCAGTGGTTTATCTGTAGAGACATGAAATGCCAATTCTACATCCTTCAGATAATGCTCTTCTGAGGATTGGAGGTCCATCTCGTCTCCTCCCACTTCTACATTGTTGTTATTCTTGTTATTATTATTATTATTGTTGCTGCTACCATCATCACTCTCTGTCAATACATTACCCTCTTCCACAGTGACATCTACACCCATGCAACCAGAACTCATATTGAATAGCCCGGGTGAACGGCGAAACGTTTACAACGGCCAAACCTCTTTTGAGCGTGACTTTACAAAGTAAGAAAATGACAAGAAAAAGAGAAAAAGAAAGAAAAAGTATATTAACAAAATAAAAAAGATACTGATAAAAAAAAATGGATTAAAAGATCAGAAAAAACAAAGATCAATCAAAACGAAAAAAAAAAAAACTGCACAATAGTGCAAGGGTATAGGCATCTCTCTCACGTTTTTTTTTTTTTTTTACTTCTTCGTGTGAATATATGCGTTTGTGAATAAACAAGATGTAATACTCTTCGTTAAGTAGAAAAGCAGAAAGAAATTATTCCATGATTTCCTTTTCTATATATTCTACTCCCATACGTTCTTGTTGGCACAACTATAATGTTGCGCTGATGCTATATTTCAAGACCTATACACCCATGTACACAAATATTCTCTCATTCCGCCTCTTCCACTCTGCAATTAAGCGTACAGCAAAATTCTAATGTGTTATCTGTACAGCTCTTCCTTTTCTCAATGTGTAGCGCATTCAACCTTCCCACATTCCTTCTTTTTTTTTTTTTTCTTTTCGTCTTCTCACCAACGCCGCATCACATACGTGTTCCAGTACTCCTTTGCCATCTGTGTGTAGTTTATCTTCGCCATCTCGAGGAATCCCATCTTATGTAAATTAAGTCGTGGTTTTGCCTCAGGAAACCGTCGCTTTGCCCCATCCGCGGCTAGAAAACGAAACATAGCCAAACTCCTTTCACAACTTTGTACAGCTACCGCAATTTGCTCTGGATCACGTAATTCGGCTCCTTCTCGGAATTTCTGTCGAATTATAATAACGAATCGCTCATTCATTTGCGCGTGTTCATTTAGCTCACAAAGCGCCGATGGAGGACAAAGGACTGCTAACTTCAACCACTGCCGGTATGAACGGCAAACACGGAACTGATGGGGAATACCAGGGAGATCTGTACCTGCGCGCTTAATCACATCTGAGGATACAGGGGCCACAAGCGCCGTGCTTCTCAAATTGCTACGAGACACACAACTCCTTCGCATCATCGCTAGTGAAGATTGGCTCGTTTTAATCATTTCAAATCCACGCTCCTTTGTTGTTGCTTGTTTTTTCTATTTCCTTTCTATTTTCTTTTTTTCTTTCTTCTGAGTGGTTATCAGAGTTGCTTGCTTGCTTGTGTGTGTGTGGGTGTGTCTCTGTATGTACGTGCAGTCTCCTTATACACTCTCCATCATAACAGACACAGCCACGGCAATAGTAATAGGGTACAAGAAAAAAAAAAAGAAAAAAAAAAGAACAAAGGAAAGAGAGGCCCATAAACAATAAAAAAGATAGTAATGCAGAGGAGGACATCTTGTAAATGCAATGAAAACAAATCACCTTAAAACAAAAGGACAACAAGTTTTCTTTAGTTGTAGTTGTAGTAGCAGTAGCAACATTTATGGTGATGGTGGTAATGGTTATGTTACACCACGAGAGATCTTTTACATTGATCACCACAATACATTTTTCTTTCTTCCATTCTTTTAAACATTTGTTTCCTATCTCTAATGAAACATCAAGTTTTTCTTTTTTTTCTTTCTTCTTTAAATACATAGGACCTAATTCGTTTTTTTCTCTTCTTTTTTCTTCCTCTTCACTTCCTCATAACCTCAACCTCAATCAATCTCTTTCTCTCTCTCTCTCTTTTTTTTTT